AAAAAAAAAAATGTCCCATCGTTACGTCTTGCGCCGGAAACTAATGCAGCGCTGTGTGTCAGCTGGACCCAAATTTTAAAAAGCGGAGAGAGCCCCCACGAGGCTGGGGTTAGAGCCACGACTCTGCACTAGGCTCAGAAGCACAGTGGGCTCCCCGCTTAGCCGGCCGCGCGGCCTCACGCCGCTCTCCGGGGCCTCGCCGCCCTCCTGGCCTCCGTCTTTCCTCTCAGTGCTTGGAACGGCAGGGGTGTGGACCCCTTGGCAAACCAATACAAGCTAGGAGCCTGCTCCCTGGCTACATATATTGATGATTACATTTTGCAAAAATCATATAATAACTATAATATATGAATAACATAAAAATATATGCCTACGTGAACATATAATCGTACAAACAGGTCAAATCTTTAAGAATCGCTGTCCCAGCAGATGAGAGCCGCAGGCAGAAGGGGGTGCGGTGAGGCTGACGGGTGGGAGGAGGCAGTAGGAGCCAAGGCCGCGGACATCCAGCTGGTTCGACGGCTCTTCCCAAAAGGACACCGAGCTGTACCCGCATCCAAGGGGCTAATCTCCCCGTGCCCCAAGATGCCACCTGCACCCCGGATGGCCCGTGGGCCGTGCCACCAGCCGCTGGCGAGGGAGGCACCCCCGGGTCTGGCCGGGACAAGGCTGGGGCGCTGGCAGGCCCGACAGGGGTACGTACTATGGCAGGAAGGCCCCACACAGTGCCGCCAGGAAGCCGGTTTCTTTTTCTGCACGCAGTGTCTCTCAGCCACGGGCCAGCAGCTCCTGGTGTGGACACAGTCGACCCTCCGGGACTGGAAGCCCCTGCCGCAGGCCGCCGTGCAGGGCCTCCAGGGGCCGGGGCGCCAGCACGCGTCACACGCCCCGGACGAGCAGTTCCCCTTCGAGGTGGGTCTGAAAGAGGGGGAAAAAAAAAAAAAAAGAAAAAGGAAAAAAAAAATGGAAAATGGGAGAAGCAGGGTGTCACTTCGTGCTGAGATCAAGCCTTTTCCCGTGCCGTTATTTTCCGTGTCCTCGAGGTTCGCCGATCCGGACCCTGCTGGCCAGGAAGCCGACTTGTGTTGGGCACGGCTGGCTGATGAGGAAGGCGGTGGCCCCGTCGTGACAGCGAGAGGTGAGCACACACGTGTTTCCACTCACTTCTAACACCAAGTCAAGATACGCCCCCCCCCGCAAAAGACACACTGTCCTGAGAAAGCCAGAGCGGGTCAGTCTAGGCAAGGAAGCAGGCACGGCTCACGGTCTGTATGGCTTCCTCCACTTTGCTGGCAAGCTGAGTTTTGTTCATCTGAGCCCTGGAGGTATGTCCGGGCATGAGTGCGAATCTGTGCGAGCAACCTTGTCTGCTACGAGACGGCACTCACTCTTCCATTTACAATATGGCCACACCAGGCCTCATGCTCAGAGTTAGCAAAGACCATCTGGGGAGAGGGATCTGTCTGTGGCTCCTTACCCTTTAGGACAGAACAGAAGGTTGGTACCCTCTGGTTTTTGAGGACGTTTACCCAGAGGGCAGAGCCACCCTAGAGGGCCCACACTTGCTCCCCGAGCCAGGGCTCCTGGGAGGTATCTTTGCGCTACATGGGAATGTCTCCCACCCCACAGGTGAATGGAAGACAGCCCTAGCTTGGCTGAGCCGGTTCAAGAACTGTCTTTCCTCCGTGAGCCTGGAGGTTTCTGGAATAAGACCTATAAACCTGAAGGCTGGAGCAATGGTGGCCATGTTGTGCCACACAGGCCAGAGAAATAGGAAAAAAAAATATTCAGAAGAGACAAAGAATGAAGCAGAAACACAGTAAGCGGCAGAGACAAAGGGGGAAAACCCCCAGGAACTTCTCATTTCTTGGTCACGGTCCTTCCTGTGGTCTGACGGCGTTCTCTCCCTTTGAATTCTTGAGACACGTCTGTATATTCCCATAAAAGGCTCCTGGGGCGCCTGGGTGGCTCAGTCGGTTAAGTGTCCGACTTCAGCTCAGGTCACGATCTCGCAGTCTGTGAGTTCGAGCCCCGCGTCAGGCTCTGGGCTGATGGCTCAGAGCCTGGAGTCTGCTTCCGATTCTGTGTCTCCCTCTCTCTCTGACCCTCCCCCGTTCATGCTCTGTCTCTCTCTGTCTCAAAAATAAATAAACATTAAAAAAAAAAAAAAAAAGGCTCCTTACCAGGGGCGCCTGGGTGGCTCAGTCTGTTAAGCACCCGACTTCAGCTCAGCTCATGGTCTCACAGTTTGGGAGTTCGAGCCCTGCGTCGGGCTCTGTGCTGACAGCTCGGAGCCTGGAGCCTGCTTCGGATTCTGTGTCTCTCTCTGCCCCTCCCCTGCTCACGCTCTGTCTATCTCTCTCAAAAGTAAATAAGCATTTAAAAAAATGTTTTAAAAAGGCTCCTTACCAGGGCGCATGATCCATAAGGAGAGTAGAAACACCACTGGACATGGAGGAAGATGGAGAAAATTGTGATAACCTGATCATCTCCAGGGGAGAGAATGTTACATGTAGTTGGAAGCAGTACTTTGATTAGCCAGGAGGGGGAGACTCCATCAAAATGTTTTTACTTAAACAACACCATCCCCTCAAACTCTTTAAGATCTTACATGGGAAGAGGAGGAGGCTATCCTATTAATTACAGGGCTTTTATTTTCCCCAGTGGTTATGAATCGTAGTTGTTTCAGACAACTGGGCATAGACCCAGCACTGCTCAGCCATACCACGCACAGATGAGCTTTTACTACTGAAAAAAGGTGGAACAAATACTCACCGAACAGGCACAAAAACATGTGTTTTAAAAGGAGACCAAACTGTTGCGCCCAAGTGCTGGGCGGTCCTGTCTTAACGAGAAATCTCCCGCCTTTTCTGCATCAATCATTCCGAGCTGACTTTTGTTGTTTCAGGGGCCCGAAGGACCCAAACTGACGGGGCCAATCTCTGCTCTGATGGAAGGCAGGTCCCGGGGTGGGGAGCGGAAGGGGCGGGCAGGAGGAGCCGCAGAGCCCATGACAGATGAGAGGACGCGGGGAGCTAGGGACCAACGCGGAAGCAGAAGTTCCGGAGGCTGGGCATTGACTGAGGACCCAGAGAAAGAACCTAAGGTTGGTCCAGCACAGAGATCCCACCTCCTCCCAGCCGGGGACAGGACTGGGGATGGGGACGTGGGGACATCTGAGCGAGGGGGACACAGTCTGGGCATGGGTGCTACACACACCTGTGCTTCCCTGTAGAAAACAGGAGAGTAGAAATGGTGCTAAAAATCACAAAGCAACCCTGTTTCTACGAGTCCTCCTCAATGTCTCAACTTGGGAAAGCTAACAGCGCGAGAGAAAAGCACCGGGATGTAACAGCAGGGCGGCCAAGCCTGGAGGAAGCAGAGATGATGGAGAAAACGAAAGGCAACCTGACCCCTCCTCGCCTCCCCCCAGCTCCAGGAATTTTTCTTCTATTCTTTCTTCTAAATGCTTCCACCGTTTCGGTTCATCTCCACAACTCTTCTCCTAAAACCCCACTTTGTCACACAACTGAGCCCCCTGATAGACCCCTCCATGCCTTTGATCCTCTCTAGTATGTCTTGGCATCTTATTTTCGCTGCCATTGGTTGGAGAGCGCGTGGCGAATCTAGCACGTGTCCTGGAGGAAAGACAACGTGGCTGCAGCACCAACAGTGGGGGTGTGTGAGGTCTGGGATGAGGCGGTGAGGGCAGGGAAGAGTTGACTGTGCAGTGTTCTCTAGGCCACGTCGCATACTTTGGCCACCCTTCCCACTCAGAGCAAGGGAAGCCTCTAGCGGGACTTTAATCCCACAGCGCGGTGGGGTGTCGTGGAGGTGCGATCAGACGTGGTTCTGGAAAGGATTGCTCAGGCTGCAGTGTGGGGGCTGGTCTGGAAAGGAGCAGCAGGTGGAGGGTGACCAGTTGGACGGCGTGGCTGCCGGTAATCATGGGAGGGATGGAAAAAAGTGGATGGGTTTGCGAAAAAAATACAAAGTGCCAAAAGGCATATAAAAAGTAATCAGAAAAGTATGAATTACAGTAAGATGTGATTTTTCACCCATCAGATTGACAAAAATTTTCACAAAGACTGAAAACCTATTAAAATGTTCATGAAAAGGGGGGAACTCTCATATACTCCCGGAATAGGCAATTTTGATGGTAACTTAGTATCAGAATGAACAGCCCTGTCAATCCCATTCCATACCAAAAACTATCCTCTAAGAATACAACCCTTCGTGCAGAAAGATATATGCCTACTGCAGTCCTAAAATGCCTACGGCAGTATTTGTAATAGCAAAAACAAACACACACGCAAACAAAAAAAAACCCCAAACAATCAAATGTCCATCAGCAATGCAGTGAGGTAATGTGAAATACGACGACGGAAAAGAACGGAATACAACGAAGGAAAAGTGAATCTTACGTACTAAGATGGGGAGGAAGTATCGATAAGGAGAAAAAAACAAGTGTGAGGAAAATACATCCAGAAAGCTCAATCCACGCAGGTAAGTGTCTGTGTTGTAAGTGTTCCTTTGGGAATGCAAAGCAAAACATCTGGGATAATTGATACCAATCTGTGTGTGGTCTCTGTCTTCTCAGCAAAAGACAGAACTAGGTTGCCTGTTGAGAAGGAGGGCAGCTGTTCCAAACATTTTCCATTTGAGGAAAATAGTTCTGGCCTGAGTTGTGTTGTGGGGAATAGGAACCACAGCTGATGCTATGTCGCCAAGCCTTACTGAAGGCTCAAGATGGAAAGTGAGCCAGCTTTCAAGGTCATCTCATTTTTTCCAGCAACACTCAGGGCAGAAGGAGGGAAAAGGAGCCATATATGGAGCATCTTCGATGATCCAGGCTTCTTAGGTACTTTACATTAGAGCAGCTACTCAAAACCTCCCAACTGTAATTGTACACGGGCGGTAACGCTCCCTCCCGCACACGAGGAGGCCAGGTAACCCCGATCACACAACGCGAGAGTGGGAGAAGTCCAAAGTCTCTCATTCATGTGCTTTCGGCTCTCTCCCCCACTCTGGGCTGGCTGGGGCTCGCCTCTCTGGGACGGTGGGTGGCGGGGGGGGGGGGGGGGGGGGGGGGGGGGAGGAGTCTGGGTCTCTGCGTGACCTCATGGAACAACACCCTCTACCCCAAGCCATCCACCAGCTTAGACTTCTACTAAGAGGGAAGCAGAGTCCTTTCCGGTTTAAGCCCCTTAACAAGGCAAACGCCTCTGTCATTCTCTGCTAAACCACTGTGCCAAAATAGTTCAACAAAACAAAACTATCAAAATAGTTTCTAAGCGGGGAAATACAGTAAGTAGTTCACTGAAAACACGAGGAAGATTTAATCTGTGAACTTCAGTGTTATTAGGCTTTACCAACTTTGTGTACGGAAGGAAAAATATCTATTCTCACTGCTACTCTATTTTGTTCCCCTCTCTGGGGCACCTCTCTACCTGTTTAACGTTCAAATGATTTGTAACTGTAACAGTACGTGATAACTGATATTTCAGTATAATGCATACTGCCCAGGATGGCGGTATAGGAATCGTCAATTAGGAGAAGGGAGTAGACAGGAGACATCATTCCATTCCCAGGTGGCCACAGCCACTGACCGAGGCGGGAGAGGTTTCGCGTCGCCCGAGGGCAGGGCCAGTACCTGCTTCTGTCGTCACAGCCCGAGTCAGAGCTGTTGTGGCCTTGACAAGCTGCGCGATGCTGCGGCATCCTCGCTGTGCGACCCAGGCAACGCGCAGGGCACTGTAACGAAATCAGAGTGCAGCACGGATGACCTTGTGAGCTCAGGCATGCTGTGGTACCAAGGTCACGTACGGAGGGGCACTGCCAGGGGAAGGTCGGCTACAGGGAACCAGCTGTCCCCAGGGGAGGTCAGGGAGGGTGGGGGTGCAGCTCTGAGGACCAGGCAGCCCTCCTTCAGGGCCAAGAAGACACCCGAGGACCTTCCACCTCCACTTTCCCCCTCCCCCGGCCGGAAACTTAGACCATCTCTGGGGAGAAGGGAAAAGAACAGGGCCAATCTGTAATCGACAGGGCTTAGGTCCTGATAGGACTGTGCTTAAAAGCATAGGCAGGGGCGCCTGGGTGGCGCAGTCGGTTGAGCGTCCGACTTCAGCCAGGTCACGATCTCTCGGTCTGTGAGTTCGAGCCCCGCGTCGGGCTCTGGGCTGATGGCTCGGAGCCTGGAGCCTGTTTCCGATTCTGTGTCTCCCTCTCTCTCTGCCCCTCCCCCGTTCATGCTCTGTCTCTCTCTGTCCCCAAAATAAATAAAAACGTTGAAAAAAAAAATTAAAAAAAAAAAAAAAAAAGCATAGGCAACTGTCAAGTTTGGGTTTTCCTGCCCTGTGCAAAAGTGGAGGCTTCTGTGTCAGGATGAGTTCAGTTATAGAAAAAAAAAAAAAAAGTTTTTTGACGTGCAATTCTTAAATTTTCATGTCATAATGCATATTACCTTTTCCTTATACTTTGTTTTATCCTTGAAAAGGCCTTGCCCTCATGCTGATTCTATTCCTGTTCACCTTCTCAGTCATGCCCTTTGTAGCACAAAGGTGTTTAATTTTCATGTAGCCCAACTACATTGTCATCGTTTTCGGTTATCATACCTAAAAATCCACTTGCTAACCCAAAGCATGAAGGTTCATATCTACATTTCTTCCAAGAGCTCTGTAGTTTCAGCTCTTGAATTTAGGTCTCTGATACACTTGGAGTTAATCTCTTGCATACGGTATAAGCTAGGGGTCCAACTTCATTCTTCTGTGCACGCGGATATCCAGTTGTCTGGGACCATTTGCCAGAGAGGTTATTCTTTCTCCACTGAATGGTCTCGTCCCCCTTGTAGGAAGCCAACCGACACTGATACAGAAATTTACCTCTCGACCTTAAGCTAAAGTCTATTCTAGCGATCTCTAGGTCTATCCCCTGTCTACCCACACTGCCTGGATGACTACAGCTCTGTGCTAAGTTTTGAAACCAAGAAGTCTGAGCCCTCCAACCTCGTTCTTTTCTCAAGATGGTTTTGGCGATTCCGGGTCCTTTCTATTTCCATATGAATTTTAGGGATCAGCTCGTCAGTATCTGCAGAGAAGCCAGCTGGGAGATTTTACAGGGATTGTGTTGAATCCGTTGATCAATGTGGAAAGTGTTCTCAGCTTCACGTTAAGTATTCTGATCCATAAATATGGGATGCCTTTCCATTTATTTAGATCTTCTTTAATTTTCTTAAAAAAAAAAACCTTGGCGGTTTAACATTAGCTTTTTAAGCAATTCTTCCCCTGTGATTAATTACCTTTGAACATTGAACCCGCTTAACATGGGTCTGTGTGTGTCATACCATTACACTGTGCGACTCGGGGCTACTGTCCCGCACTGACACTGTACTATCTCACTTACAACTGCTTCGCAGCAGCTGAAACACCACATTCAGAAGGTCTCTCCACACCTCTAGTGAGTGGATTTTCCCCAAAATTTCCTGTGCTCATTTGTTCTCCCGTGTGAATGTCAAAATTATCTTAAGTTTCCCAAAAGCGTTCTGCCGTAGTCTTAGCTGGAATTATATCACATGTTTCGGCCCATTTAAGGAAGCAGACACCTTCACAGTATAGAGGGTTCCTTTATTCGGCCTACTTTTCAACAATGTTTTCAACCATGTCTTCTATTTGTCTTCATGGGATAATTTTCTTTATTGGTTAATTTTGTGTGTCAGCTTGGCTGGGCCACGGTGTGCCCGGATATTTGGCCAAGCACGATTCTGGGTGCTTCTGGGAGGGTGTTTTTAGATGAGATAAACATTGAAATCAGTAGTCAGGGGAAAGCAGATTGTTCCCTCTAACGTGGGTGGGCGCCACCCAATCAGTTGAAGGGCTGGAGAGAACACAAAGACTGGCCCTCCCCCCCAAGTAAGAAAGAACTCGTCCTGACTCAGACTGTCTTTGAACTGGGATATCGGCTTTTTCCTGCTTCTGGACTTGAACCGAAGCACTGGCTCTTCCTGGGTCTCTAGCCTGCTGGCCTTTGGGCTAGAATGACAATAGCAGCTGTCTGCAGCTCTTGGGACTTGTCAACCTCCATAACTGCATGAGTTAATTCCTTATAATAAATCTCTTGACACACACACACACACACACACACACACACACACACACACCCTCTTGGTTTGTTTCTCTGGAGGACCCTGGCTAATGCAGATATACAGATTTTGGTACTGAAATGTGGGGTGCTACTGTAACAAATATTTAAAAGTGTGGAAGCAGCTCAGGGATTGGGTGATGGGTAGAGGCTGGAAGAGTTTTGAGGTGCTAGAAAAAACTTGGTTGCCTTGAAGGGGACGTTGTTATTAGTACAGTGAAACCTTGGATTGCGAGTAACTAGTTCTGCGGGTGTTCCGCAAGACGAGCAAACATTTCTAATAAATTTTAATTTGATAAACGAGCGATGGCTTGCAATACGAGTAGGACGTGACACGGGATATCACATGATCACAACTGAGCCCAGTGGTTCTCTCTCTCTCCTTCTCTCTCCCTCCCTCTCTCGCTCTCTCTCGCTGCAGGATTGTGGGTGATCGTCTCCCACGTTCAGATGCTCGGTCTCAGGCTGCGGTGTTTGGCAGAGATCAGCGATTTTTCAGAACATTGGAAGGTGCCCACAACTGGCACTGGTGTATTTTTTGTCACTTCAAAGCACCTCGGGACAGTCCTTTGCTTTTCCAGACAAGAGCGAGCTTAAGAATGCTTTGCTCATTCTAGGTCATTGGATAGGCTCCTTGTTAAAGTTGCACGAAAAGAAAAAGATTCCATTGGCCAATAGCAGTGATTCCGTCAGTGATCGTGAAAGTCGTCCTACACAATCACCCTCCTCTTGCTTGTCTCTCTCACACCAGCCACGAAGGTTTTCAAAGTTAAGTGCAGGTTAATTTATTTTTCTCTATATTTTGTATTTTCTTATTATTTTGTATTATATTATGGTACCATAATAATTTTTATAGGAATATTTTTGGGTTGTAGAACAAAACATCTGAGTTTCTATTATTTCCTATGGGGAAATTCGCTTTGAGATACAAGTGCTTTGGATTACAAGTGTGTTTCCAGAGTGAATTGTGCTCGCAGACCAAAGCTTTACTGTACAAACATTAAGGGGGATTCTGGCGAGGTTTTAGGGGGAAGTAAGGACCACGCCTCTAGGAACCAGAGGAAAGGTGAACATCACTCTAAAGTGGCAAAACTGTGGGCGAATCGTGTTCTAGTGTTTTGTGGATGCTAGACTTTGTGGGTGATGAAATTGGATATTTCACTGGGGAGATTCCTAAGCAAAGTGCGGAACGTGCAGCCTGGCTTCCTCTTACTGCTGATATTGGAACATCAGTGGACAGACATAAACTGAAGGAACCGTTAGGCAAAAAGGAACCACAACTGGAGGATTCCGGAAAGTGTCAGTCTATCCACATGTCGAAGGATGAGAGAATACGTTCTGGAGAGAACATGAAGGGTGTGGCCGGGCGATCGCTGTATAAGGAGGTTGGCCATGGAGTCACTCAGCCATCTCAGTGGAAGCCAGGGCTAGAGCCAGAGCCATTGCCAGTTTGGACCAAAGGAACATAGTTGGGACCCGGTTAAAGAAAGCTTTAGAAACTATAGATTCTACAGGATGGGATAAAGCCATTCAGCTGCCAACATGTTTCATCCTTCAGGAAGAGGGAAGAATGACCTGGATTCAGAGCTCACCAAGGCTGTCGGTCCCACTGCACACAGGGGCAAGGCTGTTTGCTCCTCACTTTCAGAGGGTGGGGCCCCCCTCTCAATTCCTGTGGGCCCGCCTGCCCCTGCCTAGTGCGTCACAGGCAGGACCACTCCAAAGAGTCACATGGGGGAGGCTGCTGTCTAGGGCCACGGGGGCAATGCCATTGTCCTGGTGGGTCTGGAGGGTGAGCATCCAGCCAAAGAAGATTATCCTCAAGCATTAAGATCTGATGGAATTGACCCTGATAGATTTCGGTCTTGACTGGGACCCATCACCCCTTTCTTTTTCCAGTTTCTTTTTCTTTCTTTCTTTCTTTCTTTCTTTCTTTCTTTCTTTCTTTCTTTCTTTCTTTCTTTCTTTCTTTCTTTCTTTCTCTTTCTTTCTCTCTCTCTTTCTTTCTCTTTCTTTTCTTTCTTTCTTTCTTTCTTTCTTTCTTTCTTTCTTTCTTTCTTTCTTTCTTTCTTTCTTTCTTTCTTTCTTTTTCTGCTTGTCCCACCCCCATAGTTCAGAGGCCATAACTTGTCTGCTTTTACAGCTTCATAGCAGGAGAGGGATTCTCTCTCAGGACGACTCACTTCTCACCCATGCCTGCCGTATGTGGCATTTAGTGAGACTCTGGACTTGAACTGAGGACAGAATGGGTTAAGACTTCTAGGGATATTGGGATGGGATGGGTGTACTTTGCGCACGACAAGGACATGGATTTGGGGGCGGGGACCAGAAGGTGGAATGTTATGGACCAAACTGTGTCCCCTCAAAATGTATATGTTGAAGCTCTAACCCCCAATGTGACAGGTGCTATAGGGAGGTATTAAAGGTTTAATGGAGACGTAAGGGTGGGGCCTTAATCTCTTGGGAATATTGTCTTTATAAGAAGAGGAAGAGGCCCCAGAAATCTCTTTCTCTCTCTCTCTCTCTCTGTCTCTCTCTCTCCAGAGAAGAGGTCACATGAGGACACAGTGAGAAGGTGACTGTCTAAGCCAGAAAGAGAGGTCTCACCGGAACCAACTCTGACAGAACTCGATCTTGGATTTCCAGCGTCCAGAATTGTGAGAAAATAAACTTCTGCTCTTGAAGGCACCCAGCGCGTGGTATTCTGTTTCAGCAGCCGTAGCAGGCTAATAAGGTTCCTACACATTTCTTTAGAATTGTTTTCCCGAATATTTTTTTATTTATACTGTTGTTCCAGGTGGTATTGGGGGAGGGTTATGAGACTTCTGTGCCCTTATTACTAATGTCCCTCTGCTCCTTTTCTTGGAGGCTGCTCGTCAGCCTGGGAGCTTGTTCCTGCACGGCTGCATTCAAAGAACCCAACTGTGATTTGCCTTTGTATCAGAAGACACAGAGACACTCCAGCTCTAATCCTGGAGGTCAGGCACCTACATTCGTTTTAGAGATCAATCAGACCACCCGCCCCCCCAAATCGAAAATAATGCATTAGAAGTTAAGTGATGATTCCGGTACTCTGAAAACACTAGATTCGTCCAACTTTACCTGGCCCCCCGGTCCAACGACCCACTGGCCGCACGGGTGACTGGAGCATGGCCTTCCTCCCAGAGGCCTGTCTTTGGGAGCGCAGGCCCTCGGAGACATCACCTGCGTGGCTCCATTGGCTCTGGTGTGCACGCACGTCACTTGGCGACTGCGGAATCCTTCCCCACAAGACACAGAGCACTCCGACCAGGCACCTGTGAGCCACCTGGGAACAAAAACTACGGCAGCTTAGGAAGGACAGGGATGTCAGACACCACAGGGAGTGTCTCGAAAGAAAAAAAGAACAATGCTAACACCATTTGGGGGCGACCGTTTGGGGGCCATACACTTCTCTGGGGGGATGGACAGCACCACAGAGAACTCCCAGCTCTATTCCCAGCTTTTCTTTTATTCAGGGGAGCAACCGGAATTAGCAGGTGGAAACGAGGAACACAGGGGTGGGGTAGGGCCGTCTCCAAGTATATAAGAGCACTTGCACGGCTCCAGAGAGTAGAGCTAGGGCAAAATGAGGTGGAAATTAAAAAAAAAAAAAGTGGGTTTCAATTCATTGAAACCAAAGGGAAGAAAATATTTTCAAAGCACCGATGTGCTGTTTGCTCTGACAGATTTACATGTTATCCCTATTCTTGGAGGGAAGAAACCAACGTCCAAAGGGGTAAATAACTTGGTCGTGGTCACAGATAACTACATGCCAACGGAGCTGGGATTGGATTCTAGGTTTACCTGACCCTAAAGTTCACACTTTAATGACACAGGACACTTGGAATGGACGTGTCTGAGATGGAGTGCTGTGTCACTAAATATGTTGAAGTTTGGCTGGTTTACCGCAGAGCACGGGTTCCTAACCTGAGCCCTGTGGCTCTCCCAGGGACCACGGGCCTGGATGGGCAAAGAATTAGATCTTCACTGTCACTGAGATATAATTTGAGTCCTCCTTCAGTTATAAGAATTTCAGCTGCAAAATACAGTAGTTTTAGCAATACCTGTGTGATTTTGTTACCAATGGAAACCACAGATATTTTTACATGACATTACAATTGTAGCAGGCATCTCAAAATACCATGTATATTCATCACCGCTGCAAAACTAATGTACCTCCAGATCTTACCATTTAGTGTATTAATGGAGAAGCAAACCTATTATTGTATCATAATTTTTAAATATTTTAGTACTGTATTTCAGCATAATTGGTTTCCTTTGTGATCAAATATATTCTATTTTACAGACTTAAAACCCTTGCTCGGGGCGCGTGGGTGTCTCAGTGGGTTAAACATCCAACTTGGACTCAGGTTACCATCCCATAGTTCGTGAGTTCAAGCCCCGCATCGGGCTCTGTGCTGACAGCATGGAGCCTGGAACCCGCTTCAGATTCTGTGTCTCTTTCCTCTCTACCCTTCCCCCACTCATGCTCATGTTCAAAAATCTTAAAACAAACAAACAAACAAAACCCCTTGCTCTGAGAAGGGAGCCACAGGCTTCCCCAGGCAATCCAGAGGCATCCACAGCACAGAAAGACAAAGGACTCTCGACGTGAAGGGCCCCAGAGTGGGGTGACTTCTGTCTGTCCCTTGTAGGTGTGAAAGCGTATGACTGTGTACTCTAGGGATGCGCAAAAGCTTGAGAACAGTTAATAAATGAGGCTGCTGATAAATTTCTTTTCACGTTGTAAGAATCAAGAGGTGACACAACCCAGCCCCTGCGCCTTCCTGCGGCATCAGATGGCTGTTTCCTGAGGGAGCGATGACTCAGCCAAGAGACCTTCCAATGACGGGCACCGGGAGACACGTCGGCCAGGGGGCCTCCAACAGCCATGGCCCTCTGAGAACGTCCTCCCGGTGTGACCTGCCCCCCCACCTCCTCCAAGGCCCAGGTCAGCGGATCCGGCGTGGGCATTTGCACAAGGGCAACAGACTCTCTAACGTTTGCACCGCCTCCATTTTCTCCTCAGTAAAATGAGGTTGGTAATAGTATCTGCCGCATAGTTGTGCTCAATAAATGCTACTGTTGTTGTTGTTGTTGTTATTATTATTATTATTATTATTATTATTATTATTATTGTTTTATTTTCCTGGAGACTTTGGTGCTATTTGCTCAGTTCTCTGCTAGGGACTATGTGATTCAATGAAATCATTCATTCACTTCACACATAGCCGTGGAGGGTGCATAATGGGGCGGACGTTGTGCTAAGTGCTGGGATAAAGTGTCCCGCAAACAGCTGTGGATTTACTGTAGGGCAGACAGTCTAGTGGGACAACGAGACGGACTGTGGGAAGAGCGATAAAGACAGATGATAAAGAAGCAGGAGACCCAAGCAGCACGGGGCCCTGGCTGTGCTCAGAGGGGAAGGTCAGGGACGGTCTCCCTGAAAATAGGCGAACGGAAAGAGAGGGAACAGCGTTCTAGGTAGCGGGAGCGGCGTGTGCAAAGACTCTGAGTCAGGAGAATGGCGCATCTGAGAGCCAAGAAAATGGCGTGGAGTGGAGGTCAGATAACCAGGCCGGATGAGACCAGCAGTGACACAGAGTGGCAGCCCGAGACCCAAGCAGGGAGGGGCTTCTGTTCTTGGCCTCACGCCATCAGTCAGGCAGCAAGTGTGTGTGTGTTAGACACTATTTTAAGAGATTGTTAATGTCTGTTTACTTTTGAGAGAGAGACAGAGACAGAGGCAGACAGACTGCGAGCGGGGACGGGGCAGAGAGAGGGAGGGAGACACAGGATCCCAAGCAGGCTCCAGGCTCCCAGCTGTCAGCACAGAGCCCGACGTGGGGCTTAAACCCACGAACCACAAGATCGTGACCTGAGCTGAAGTCAGAGGCTTAACCGGCTGAGCCCCCAAGTGCCCCACGTAAAGCACTATTTTAGACACAAGGTGAAAAAATGCGTAAGACATACATAACCCAGTGCTAGGGATTTCGGCTTTTGCCCTAAGAATGACGAGAAGTGTTTGAAGGGTTTTAAACAAAGAAACATCACGGCGAATTTGTGTTTTAAAGACGATTCTGCTTACAGTGGGAAGAGCCCTCTGGGCGGGGTGGGGGACAAGAATCAGGAGGCTCCTGGAGCAGTCCACGTGAGGGGCATTGATGGCGTGAGCTCCCGCACGAACCGTGGAAATGGACAAGAACAGATGCAGGTGGGAGAAAGCGGGGGGCCTGGGGCACGGTCACTGAATCCAGAAGCCTAGTGGCGGGACGGGCTCGGTGGAGATCAGGAGTTGGATTTTGGCCGTTCAAAAATTACTGATTTCTGTCATCCATTACATAGAAAGGTCATTAGTGGTCTTCACCGCCAGGGTGGAATCTAGGGATGGGCACTCTGAACAGGACCTCCACGCGATCTCCGAGGCTCGACCCACAGAACCAGCTCCACTAAGGACGAGGTAGCACTGTGAGTGCAAGGGAGCAGACCTGAGCAGCCATCAAGGGCAAAGGCTCTGAACACAGATTACCTTCTCCCTTTGAACTCTGGCCTTTGCAGCTGTGTGGCCTTGGGGCAACCTCCCCACCTACAAAACAGGAAACTAACGAGGTGCCTGCAAAATGAGCCACACGGAGCACTTAGCGGAATGCCTGGTACCGAGTACCAGCTAAACGCATCTCCGCGATCGCGGCGGTAAATCCAAATTAGCGAGCCTTCGAACCCAAGCAAAAAGCTGGTACTGGTAAGGGCAAGGACACCTACCTCGAGGGGCAGTCCCGGATGTTGCAGGGCTGAAACCCAGCCGGCGGCTTCTGGAGGTGATGGCAAAGGGCCTCACTCACTTCCTGCCCGTTGGCCGTCACACACCGGGGTCTCCGAACTCGGGCTCCCAAGGGCCCGCAGCTGGCAGAACAATGCGTCCAGTTACCGAGCTCCCAAAAAGGCTCTGCAGAAAGGAAATGACATGTCACGACAGCCCGGAATGAGATATGATGATGAGGCTGGAGGGGACGCGGCCGAAGACCACCAGGGGCTGCCGGTCTGGTTCTTTGAGGAGCACAGAGAGAGTAAACCCATCACACAGTGCATTTCATTTTCCCTCCACTGACTGATTGTAATAACTGGTGGGAGCGGTGGCCGGCGAGGGCCCCTTGGGCCACAGGCTGGAAGAGAGGCTATTGGAGACCAGCTGGACCTGCCAGAAGCATCCCAGAGAGAGGGAGGAGGTGTTCTGGGCAGCAGGCTGCCTCTTCGGCATTCTCCAAGCAGAGCCAAGAGGACAGGAGGGAGGAGGTCTCCAGGGGCTGCTCTCACCAGTCCTGTGTCTCAAAAGTGGATCAGGCCGAGAAATGAAAGGCCATTTAGCGGGACCTTGGATTAAGCAGTCAGGTTAAAAATGCACTTCGTTCCATTCTTACTTTTCCATTAGTTCTTAATCTAAACCTCAGCTTACTCCTGGAACTGCATAAATAATTTGTCACGGAGACATCTGGAAAGGTGAAAATGGGAGTTCCCTTTAGCAAAGTTGAGGCTGACCACCTCCAGGAATTGTGGCTTATTAATTTCAGTCCTCGTTCCAAACGGCCTTTCCCTTCCCTTTGGACGCTCGGTAAAAAGATGAGGTACAATACGATGATGAAAGATGTGTGTGCGACCACAGAAGGTGCCAGATTTTCCTGTCACAATCACAAGTAATTGATGGCTACCAGCTGTGTCCACAGACTCCCTCACAGAGCAGAGCGATTTCTGTAACTTCTTGTTTTCCAGATTTTCCTGCTGATTTTTGAATTTTTGTCTTAAGTTGCATATGGCATCATTGGCAAAACAGAACAGGACATATTTTTAGTGGGGCCTCCAGGATTACAGTTATTTAAAACAGTTTTTTAAAAATAGCTGGGTTTATGGAGAACCTCCCAGGTGACGAGTATGGAATTAGATACTTGGCCATCAATTTTTCACTTATCCTTGTGGCCATCTTGTGAATTAGATCGGTTTTATTTGCCAAAGTGGGGAAAAAAGCCAAGTGACTTTGCACAAGGTCCTTCCTCCAGAAGGAACAACCAGAAGGAAGGACCTCCACGTGTGTCTGACCCCACATCTAACTTTTTCTACTATGTCATACTTCACAAACACACCTTGGCACTTCAAGGCAGGACACGTGCATTTCTTTAAAAACGTGGGTTTTTGTTTTTGTGGTTTTTTTTTTTTTTTTTTTTTTTTTTTTTTTTTTTTTTTTTTTGCATTGAGGTGTAATTCACATACAATAAAATGCTCGGAAATCAGGTGTGCTGTTTTATGAGTTTTCCCAATTGTATGTACATTTGTAACTGTGATCCAAAACAAGGCATAACACGCTTCATCACCCAAAAAGTTTCCTCTTAATTTAATCAGTGTTAATGATTAATTAGGTTATTTTAATCAATTATTTTAATCTGAATTATTTTCATCAATTCCCCTCCCCCACCAGGCAATTACTAATTCATCTCCATCAGTATTCATTATTAGTGTCCCTGTTCTGGGACTTCATGCATGCAGTCTTTTGCATTTGGCTTCTTTTGCTTAGCATAACATTTCTGAGATTCACTTGTATTGATGTGCATATCAGTAGCCCCTTCTCTTTTATTGCTAAATAATATTCCAGTGTCTGAATATACCATGCTTTGTTTATCCATTCTCCTTGTGATGGTCATCATGAAGGGAAGGCTGCTATGAGCATTCTTGGCCACATTTTTTTGTGACCATGTCTTCACGTTTCTTGCATAAATATCTGTGAGCGGAATTGCTGGGTCAAAGGTAGGTGTGTGGTTAGCTTTATCAGAAACCACCAACACGGTTTTCCAGAGGGGCTGTACCAGATTACGTACTAACCACCAATGTATAAGAGTTTCGGCAGCTTCACATCCTTGCCAAAATCTGGCACTGTCGGTGTTTTTGTTTTCACTTTTCCAGTAGTGGTTTTAATTGTCATTTCCCTGTGTTTCCATGGCACTGTATATCTTCTTTTGTGAACCGTCTGTGCAAGTGTTTTGCCCATTGTCTTTTTTGGGGGATGGGAGGGTTCATGATTATCTTGTAGGAGTTCTTTATATATTCTAGATAGGAATTCCTCATCAGACATACGTTCTGCCAATCTTTCTTCCCAATCTATGACTTATTCATATTCTTAATGGTGTCCTTGATGACCAGATTTTAATAATCTTGATGAAGTTCCAATTGATCGTTTTTTGGTTTACGGTTAATGATTTTGGATACAAGAGCATTTGAAAAGATCACATTCACTCTCATGTAAGACTTCTCAATAGCTTTGTGTATTTTAGGAATAAGCTCTAGAATTTTTTTTAATTGAAGAATAATTAACACAGTGTTACAGTAGTTTCAGGTGTACAATCTAGTGATTCAACAGTTCTGTACATTATTCAGTGCTCATCAAGATAAATGTACTCAATCTTCATCACCTATTTCACCCATCCCCTCACTCACCTCCCCTCTGGCCACCATCAGTTAGTTTTCTGTATTTAAGAGTGTTTTTTTAATCTCTTTTTTCCTTTGTTTATGTGTTTCTTAAATTCTATATGCGAGTGAGATCATGTGGTTTTGTCTTTCTCTGACTTATTTCCCTTAGCGTTATACCCTCTAGCTCCATCCATGGTGTTGCAAGTGGCGAGATTTTGTGTTTTTTTATGGCTAATACTCCATTGTGTATATATACACCAAATCTTCTTTATCCATTCATCTACCGATGGACACTTGGATTGCTTCCCTATCTTGGCTATTGTTAAATAACGCTGCTATAAACTCAGGGGTGCATATACCTTTTCAAATTAGTGTTTTCATTTTCTTCGGCTAAATACCCAATAGTGGAATTACTGGGCCATCTGGTAGTTCTATTTTTAAGCTTTTGAGAAACCTCCATAGTGTCTTCCACAGCAGCTGCACCAATTTACCAATATTCACACCAATGGTGCCCAAGGGTTCCATTTTCTCCACATCCTCACCAACACTTGCTGTTTTCTTGTCTTTTTGATTCTAGCTGTTCTGACAGGTGTGAGGTGATATCTCATCATGGTTTTGATTTGCATTTCCCTAATAATGAGTGATGTTGAACATCTTCTCATGTGTCTGTTGGCCATTTGTATGTCTTCCTTGGAAAAATGTCTGTTCAGGTCCTCTGCCCATTTTAGGCAGACTATAGGTTATTTTGATGTTGAGCTGCCTACGTTCTTCATGTATTTTGCATATTACCCCTTATCAGGTATGTCTCCTATTCAGTAGGCTGTCTTTTGTTTTGGTGATTGTTTCCTTCCCTGTGCAGAAGCTTCTTCTCTTGATGTAGTTCAATTTGTTTATTTTTGCTTTGGTTTCCCTTTTCTGAGAATACATATCTAGGAAAATGTTTTTATGACCAATGTCAGAGATATTACTACCTGTGCTCTCTTCTAGGATTTTTATCGTTTCAGGTCTCACATTTAGATCTTTAATCCATTTTGAGTTTATTTTTGTATATGCTGTTTACATATACAGCATGTATATGTATATGCATATGCATATGCATATGCATATGTATATGTATATGTATATGTATATGTATATGTATATATAGTCCGGTTTCATTCTTTGTGTGTAAGGTACTGGCACATAAACAGACATCAGGATCAAAGGAGGACAGAATATACAATGAGGAAAAGATAGTCTCTTCAACAAATGGTGCTGGGAAAACAGGAATAAATTCTAGTCTTTACCTTGACCTTCAAAGCCCTGAATGATTTGGTCCTCAGCAACCCTCCAACTTCATTTCATCCATCCTTTCCTCTCCCCCACACCTGTGTCCCCATCATGTGAGTTTTCTTTGTGTTTCTTTTCTTTTTAAAGTTTTTTTAAATGTTTATTTATTTTTTGAGAGAGAAAAGGGCACGAGTTAGGGAGGGGCAGAGAGAGAGGGAGACACAGAATCCGAAGCAGGCTCCAGGCTCTGAGCTGTCAGCACAGAGCCTAACGCGGGGCTTGAACTCACGAACAGCGAGATCATGACCTGAGCCAAAGTTCGACACTTAACTGACTGAGCCGCCCAGGTGTCCCTCTTTGTGTTTCCTGACCACATTAAGCTTGTTCCCAGTTAATGGTCTTGCGCTCACTTCCCTCTGCGGGAGAGGCTCCTCCCTCATCCCTATGCATGAATGGCTCTATGTCATCATCTAGACCTGGGCTCAACTATCACCTCCTTGGGAGGCTGGTCTTGACTTTCTTCACCAAAATGGCCATGTGCAATTGCCGTGCTATCATCCCATTTTGTTTCCTTCATAGCACTCACCACAGAGAAATATCTTATGTGTGTGTTTCCTTGTTTGTCGTCCGCCTCCCTGACTAGAGCACCAACTCCATGGGGAGCTCTTCTGTCCTGTTCACCACCAGGACAGGGCACGTTATATATTAGGTGTTCAACCAGTCTTCGTTAAATTAATAAATGAGTCTCTTTGAAACGCTGAAGTAGGGATCCACCGAAGGGCTGGCATATTCCAGTTGGTGAATACATGGATGTGTATTTGTGTATGTGTGTGTAGGTATGTGTGTGTAGCAGGTAGTCAAACGAGATAGGCGCCATTGGTTACGCCAATGTTGAAATATTCCAAAGGCTTCAACTGTCCCCGTGGTTTCAGACTCTGATATCCAATTTTTAAAGTAATTGATTAGAGGGAGTTCCTTAGGCTCATGTGCCCTTCTGCATGGAACCCCATCTGCCTTTGCACCTCCCGTGTCTCTGCCTGGAATGCTGTCCTTCCTCTTCCCAGGACAAGCCCTGAGGCCTGCGTGAGGACTTGGTTGTTTCCTCCAGAGAGAGTTAGGGCCCCTTCCTCAGTGCTGCCAGTGGACCTGGCCATCCTTCTATTAGAGCACTTGTCACACCGCTTCAGAACTCCTGTTCACATGACTGCCTCCCTCTTCAAACTATGAGCTTCCCAGGGGCTAGGTCCTCTCTTTTCCCCAGCCTGGCAAGAGCTTCCCGGGGGAAGAGTCCTCTCTTTCCCCCCAGTGCTGGGCAGACACTTGCAGAATGCTGCTGTAGACTGAATGTGTGTGTCTCCCCCAAACTCAGATGACAAACCCTAACATCCAATGTGATGGTCATAGGAGAGGGGGCCCACAGGAGGGGACGGGGTCATGAGGGAGGAGCCCCCATGATTGGGACTAGAGTCCTCATAAAAAAGACCCCAGGGAGCTTCTTCACTCCTCCTGCCATGGGAGGACACAGTGAAAAGATAGCTGTGAACCAGGAAGTCCTCACCAGACATCAGATCTGCGGGTGCCTTGATCCTGGACTTCCCAGCCTCCAGAACTGTAAGAAATAGATGTCTGTTGCTTATGAGCCACCCGGTCTGTGGTTTTTGTTATAGCAGCTCAAACAGACTAAGACAAATGTTGCATAAATGGATAATAGTGCATTTCCTAATGGTAGTAGTATTCCTGAAAGACGAGAAGAATATATAAATACTCCTGGAGAATGATGTCATAAATAACATGAATAACATGAGCTGGCCTGTTTGATGGGTGGCCCAGCACTATTCTCTTCTTCCAGGCCCTTCCTGCATCCGAGAAGGTGGGAGCCTGGGAACTACATTCTTAGAATCCCTATGTACACAGTTATTCTTTGGGATACTTTCTGCAAAGGAGAGGCACTCGTTCAAGATTTAAAAGGGTGAAATGACGCAGCCAGTACTGTTCCTGTAGAAACTAAAGCATGAAGTATAACAGGAGCTTCTCTGTGTCCTTCTGTGATTTACCCATTTTTGAGCTACAAGACTCTGAGATCATCAGTACTGGTCTTCTGTGCTTTCAGAATTTCTGACTTTCTTAACCCTACCTCTCTCTCTTGGCCTCCTGAAGAGTTTTGCAAGCTTGGAATACTGAGATCAGGTTCTCCTGACCGAACACCGATGCCTAACAAAGTTAGTAAGTCTAGGGAAGAATTTACAAAAAGAGAAGAATGAAGGAATCATTTCCAGAATTCCTAGCAAATCTCCCCTCTGTGAATATTTTACCAAGTTGGCCATCGTTTAGAAACTGGAAAACCAACACCTGTTTTATCACAAATAATGATGCACATTTGGGACATGAGCCCCGCGGGCTTCCTCGGGAGCGATTTCTTTTTCAAAACCGTTTCGATATGGAAGGAACAAGTTGAGCTACAGAAGCCTGAGGGCAAGGGAAAAGCCGGCCAAGTGCCTAGGAATAATTTTACTTATTGAGAAGGGCAAGATACGGAGCATCCTGTAGCTAAATCCTTTTCCTCGCACATGCCTCTCGAATGGCAAATCCTTAAGAAGTCAAAGTCTCCGACCTGACGGTAGGGCTTCTCCTGTTGGGTCACTGCTGCTGGTCTCTGTGTCAGATGCCTGGGGCCTATGCTTTTTCTGGTCCTTGGGAAATCCACTTTCACTGTCCAACCGTCTTTGTTCTGAGAGAGAGAAAGAAGGAGCACTTGTTTACCAGTTAAACATTATCTACCTCTTACCCCAGCTTGGGTGTTCTTAAAGAAGACAGCCGCTAGGAAGTCAGCTCCTGCCGATGAAATGTTCTGTCCCGGCTGCTCAGGCCCACACAGATCTGGGGGTTCTGTGGGGGTGTGTGGGGTGCTATCGGGGTTCAGTTAGAACAGCTGTGCTAAAACGTGGCGTCTGCATGTTTTCAGGGTTTATAGCCTAAGACAATGGAAAAAATGGAGTCCCCCTAATGCCGAGAGGGACTGGAAGAAGCATCTAAGAAACAGCAAAACCCCTCCTCTTGAGGGACACCTCAGCAGCAGGAGAACGGGTGACGTTTTATAGGGGCTTCACATGGGGGAGATGGCCTTTCTGAAAGGCAGTGAAACTCGAGCATGAGGGCAGGGTGGCGGAGGGACGCCATGTATTGGCAATGTAAGATGTTCTTGATTCCTCAGCCAAGTCATGAGCTGCTCGGCAGGAGGAACCCCTAAGGGAAGAGGTGTGCAGGGCGGAGCTGAGGCAGCCATGCAGGTTCAGGAGTGGAGAGGAGCAGAAGTGAGGGATAAGGCTGGCGCTTCTCAGAGCATGGGGAAGGCATTCAGCAATCAGACAGGCTTGGTCAAGCCCATCGGTTGAGAATCTTCCATTCCAAGATCCTAGAAGACCACAGAGGTCTTTGGGAAGGGCCACAGGGAGGTACACCAGTGCCTTCCTGATCAGCACGGCCAGTCCAAGAGGGGTAGTATGAAGAACGCTCAAAGAGAAGGCTATAAGGGTGCCTGGGTGGCTCAGTCAGTTAAGTGTCCGGCTTCAGCTAAGGCCATGATCTCACGGTCCATGAGTTTGAGACCCACATCGGGCTCTGTGATGACAGTTCAGAACATGGAAGCAGGTTCTCTGTCTCCATCTGCCCCTCCCCTGCTTGAATTCTATGCCTCTCAAAAATAAATAAATATTAGGAAATCTAAAAAAAAATAAAATAAAAGAGAAGGATATATATTTGGGCTTTAGGAAAACTTCCTGTGAGTTTCTTGGGTCTCCTCATGTATGTACCAGGATTAAAAATGACCGCCGCCCCCCCAAAAAAAAGAAAGAAAAAAAAATAAAAATGACTGCCCCAACCCTGTGCTACTGTGTCAGAGGAGTGAGTGAACATCCAAGTGCTTCGTGCCCAACAGTGGTTCCAATCCCCACATGGGCACCTCCCACCTATTATGACCCTGGACTCCTCGAACTGCCAACAAGAAAAACCATGGAGAAGGTTCTTTCCCATCATCCTCTTGGTTCAGCAGTGGAACCTATGGTAATCTCATACCACGTCCACCAATGACTCAATTCCATTCATTTGTGAAACACGTATTTAGCTCTTACTACACCTGTGGTAGGTGCTGGAGCTACAGACAGGATTATCGAATGATCCCTAAAGGCCATCTGACTGACTTCTGTGAGCAACTCTCACTTGGTTCCAAACCCTGGCAGGAGAGAGGAGTATTATTTATTGAGTCCTAAAACCTCAACAGTTTAAATTTTTTTATTTTTATTTATTTTATTTAATTAATTAATTAAT